AGGGAGGGAGGGAGGGAGGGAAGGAAGGAGGGAAGGAAGGAGGGAGGGAGGGAAGGAAAGGAAGGATGGAAGGAAGGAAGGAAGGAGGGAAGGCAATAACAATAGCCCTTAGACTTATATACCGCTTTATAGTGCTTTTACAGCCCTCTCTAAGCAGTTTACAGAGTCAGCCTCTTGCCCCCCAACAATCTGGGTCCTCGTTTTACCCACCTTGGAAGGACGGAAGGCCGAGTCAACCTGGAGCCTGGTGGGATTCGATCTGCCAAATTGCAGTGGGAGTAGCTTGCAGTACTGCACTCTAACCACTGCCCCATGGAGGCTCCATTATACATCCATTCATCTAATTAACTAACGATACGCTGCTAATTCATCGTTAAGGGATCGTCCGCTAAGACCCCCAAGGCCCCTCTCACAGCTCATTGTGTTTGAGCCAGGTATCCCCCTCACCTGTGCTTGTAACCTTCGTTTTTTCCTGCCCAGGTGTAACACCTGGGCAGGAAAAGTCTGCTGAGTTTCAGCTGCTCTCCTCTGACCGTCCTAGCAATATTGGCGCGGAACAGATTAACCAGATGGCTTTGGAGCTCTGGCAAGACCGCCGAGACCGCGAGGAGATCCGTCGTCAGGACCTGGAAGCGTCCATTCTGGAGGCCATTTCTAAAGACCCCCAAAGTGAGTATCTTAGCGGCGGGGGGCGGGGGGGGGAAATGACGGGAAACTTTCAGCGTGACAATGAATGATGTGCCTCAGAGTCGGCTACACCCAGGCAGTGCTGGCATGTTAACTCCCAATGAATCCTTTGGAAGTTTTTGAAGTTTGGCTCGAGACTCGTGATTTCATTGGGGGTAACTGCCGGAATCCTGACATTCGTCCATTTTCACATCTCTTTCAGACGGATTCTGGAGATCCGGGGTCTTCGAGCAAAACCTGATTGACGCCTTTGTGCCTTTCCTCCCGCTGCGACGGCACCACGTGAAGCAGTGCGTGGTCAATGAGATGGCCAGCCGGGGTCTCGTCCCTCTCCCGGAGGTCGTGGACGGCGTGGCCGACAGCTTTTCCTACTTCCCCGACGAGGAAAAAATATTCTCGGCCACCGGATGCAAAACGGTGTCTTCCCGCATACCGTTTTTCCTATGACCCCTACCCCCACCACCCTCTGCCAGACATTTTCGGTCCAGAATGGAGTTTTTAACGGTTTGCCTTCCAAGCGAAGAAAACCCCTTGTTGCGTCTTGAAAAGGTCAGCTGAAGGACTAAAGGACGGGCCTTTCGAAAAAGCATGCTGGCTTGATCAAACGTTTTCCTCCCCTTAAAAATGACCTGGAATCGATTTCTTTTTTTGAACTCAAAAAGAGAAGGTTGTGTGATCCATTACGTGGAGAATCTTGTCGGGTTTTAAAACAGGGTTTCTCGGATGTTTTACAGGTTTAGCGCCGTTGAATTAATCCGTTTTTCTGCGGATTTTTAAAATCCTACCTCTCAAGTCAAGGGTTATTCTGTGATTTCTTCTGTTTTTTAAAAAATCCAATAAGGTGGGATGTCCCGGGGCATGGCACCAAAGCAACAAAGTCACAAAAGTAGGTAAAGCCCCCTTAATTCCTCCAACTTGGCCCCCCAATGTCCAGTTATCATCAGCTGGAGAAAAAACTCTCCCAAGAACAGTTTTTAAAGGGAAGAAATTCAGTCCAAACCCAAAGTACATATAAATTATAAACAAAAAACAACACAAACCATACTGCAGCAATTAATAAGACAGGGCAGGATAAGGGATTGAAGACATCAAAAGATAACGAAACACACACACTTGAGAGGACACCAGAACTCAGATAAGACTTGACAAACCAGAATAATTTCATGCTTTGCTTCCAGCAACTTTGCCATGCACAGTTTGCCCTTTTAAACAATCTTCCCAGCTGCAGCCAATGAAGGGGATCAGGGCCCTTTCCTTCCCTGTAAACCATGCAACTCACATTGCTCCCTTAACCGTTGTGCCCTAGGATGAAGGGGGGTGGGCCTGGGTCTTCCTCTGAATGCCCAGCCGGACTGTGCCCTCCCCCAGTTTCCCTAACCCTAACCCTTTGGGGTCATCACAGCGGATCTGAACATACAATAAATGTGAAAAACCTGGACGTACCTTAGGGTCTTCCAAAGGTTGCTTTATTTAAATAAAAAAAGCAAGAAAGGCACAACTTTATATAGCAAATCTTTTCCAAAGTCTAGAACAAAATGGAACAGAGGTGAGTCGGCTTCCCGCTTGCCGTTTTCCGATACTTTGAGCAATTATTAGGGGGAAAGATTGATTCTGGTGCCAACCGCTTCGTCCCACTGGGTAGCCTTTTCCCTGGCGGGGGGGCTGCCATATCACTCAGGGCCCCGAAGGGAAAGAGGGATGGCATCCCCTCCACCCTTTCCAAGATTTTGGGGTCTCGGTTACAGAAATGAAGCCTCTTAGCCAAGAAAAACCTGGCCATCCTAAATCTTTTTAACTTTATGTGGTTTTGAGCAGGCAAGCTATTTGGCAGGAGAAATCTGGTTTGTTCGACTCACTTGAAATTCAGGGTATTTTGGGGAGAAAAACCAAGGTTTACCATCCCAAGGTGATGCTTCGGACAGGCCTAAAAGTGACCGACGCCTTCTTAGAATTTCCTCCAGCAGTACGGTTCCTTGGGGCAATCCTTGGGGGGCAGACGAGCGCAGGTGTCTACCCAGACAGTTTTGGATTCCAGAGCTGGCTTATTTTGATGCGCTTCCTTCAGCTCCTCGTTTGCCTGCAAGACACACACGGGACAATTTGCCGCAGGCCAAACGGACGCTCCTACCCACCTACCACGCTGGGTCCCTAATGTCAGTCTCAACCTCACTTAAATGGCGGCGATAGCAACAGCACTAACACTTAAGACCAGGGGTCTTCAAACTGGACAGCTTTAAGACTTGTGGACTTCAACTCCCAAAATTCCTCCTCCAGTCATGTTAGCTCAAGGAATTCTGGGAGTTGAAATCCACAAGTCTTAAACTTGCTGAGTTTGAAGGCCTTAGACTTAAATACTGCTTCAGGGCTGTTACAGCCCTCTCTCTAAGCGGTTTACGGAGTCAGCCTCTTGCCCACAACAACCTGGGTCCTCATTTACCCACCTCAGAAGGACGGAAGGCTGAGCCAACCTTGAGTCGGTCAGGATCGAACTGCTGGCATTGGGCAGAATTAGCCTGCAATACTACATTCTGACCACTGCGCCACCACGGCTCATATGTTAGCACTGTTGGCCTCTTGGCTTTTGGACTGGGCAGGGGTGGGACCTCACAGCCTCCAGGTAGACTTAAACTCCACTGGCTACCCTTTCTTCTCGGACTCGTAGGGTTCGAAAGGGACCTTGGAGGTCATCTAGTCCAACCCCTTGCCGAGACAGGCGGCCTTATAACCATCCCGGACAAAAAAATCTTTTCTGAAGGGGAGGAAAGTTAATCTTTGGTGATGTTTTCGGCTGCAAAAGAGCTGGATAAAAGAGCAAATCCAGGGTTGTTTTTAGCTGGATCGGTCACCCACTGCAACCCATTAATGGTTTTCTGAGAGCTATGAAAAACCCCAGAGTCAACCTACGGCCTCCCCTTATGGGGGAGATGGGCGGCATAATTTTTTAATAAGTAAAGAAATAAAATATCTTGTTTTCCTTCCAAGTGGCGGAGATACCTGGTGTGAGTTTTGCTGACATTCAGCCAGTCTTTTTTGCAGCTTTTTTTCTTCAGAACCCTCTTCCTTCTCCTCGCCTTTCTGGTCCTCGATTTGAATGTACATGTTGGTTGGGAGTTCGGATCCTGTGGATTTCAGAGGCCTGGGAGAAGGCAGAAAAGCAGAGAGAGAAAGAGAGAAGGAGAACGAGAGAGAAACAGGGAAGAACAAGAGAGGGGAGAGAGAACAAGAGAAAGAAAGAGAGGAGACACCGAAAGAAAGAGGAGAGGAAAAAATAAGAGAGAGGAAAAAGAGGGGAGAGAATAAGAGAGGACAGAATGAGAGAGAGAACAGGAGAGAGGAAAGAATGAGAGAGGAGAGAGAATAAGAGGGGAGAGAAAGAGACAGAACAAGAGCGAGAACAAGAGAGGAGAGAATAAGAGAGGGGAGAGAAAGAGGAAAAAAGAAAGGAGAGAGAATGAGAGGAGAGAGAGAATAAGGGGAGAGAGAAAATAAAGGACAGAAAGAATGAGAGATGAGAGAATAAGAGAGAGGGGAGAAAGAATGAGAGAGGAAAAAAGGAAAACCTCCAAGGAAAATACTATTAAATCTCCCCGCGGCTTCGATTCGATACCTCTGCAACGCTTTCCCGCCGGGAAAAGATTTCAGCTTTCGATCCAGGAGAGTTTTGGTCAAATCTCCAACTTTGCTGTTGAGGAGGGATTCTTTGCTCTCTCCGGGAAACAGGTTGCCCATCAAGGTCCGGACCTGGAATTAAAAATAAAATAAAATAAAATCGGTTAACATTTTTTAAAATGAAAAAAAACAACAACCTATACTCAAAATGGAGGAGCTTCTATTGTACCCAGGGAGGTGTCCCTACAAATTTTGGGTGTGTGGTGTTTTTTTTTTCCTCTGGTCAGTGTTTATTGCTCTCATCTGCTTTGAAGTGTTGGGACTTCAACTCCCAGAAAGCTTAAGATGAGTGGACTTCAACTCCCAGAATTCCCCAGCATGATTGAAGATGGGTGGACTTCAACTCCCAGAAGCCTTCAGGTGCCTGGACTGCAATTCCCAGAATTCCCCAGCATGTTTGAAGATGGGTGGACTTCAACTCCCAGAAAGCTTAAGATGAGTGGACTTCAACTCCCAGAAGCCTTCAGGTGCCTGGACTGCAACTCCCAGAATTCCCCCAGCATGACTGAAGATGGGTGGACTTCAACTCCCAGAAAGCTTAAGATGGGTGGACTTCAACTCCCAGAAGCCTTCAGGTGCCTGGACTGCAACTCCCAGAATTCCCCCAGCATGATTGAAGATGGGTGGACTTCAACTCCCAGAAGCCTTAAGATGGGTGGACTTCTAGGTGTGGTCTTACTAAGACTTTATAGGTTGCAAAATTGTGGGGGGGGGGAGGAAATCTACACGGGTCCCCCTGAGCAAGGGAAATTCGGGGCGCGATTGTGGTCTTAAGTGGGGGGGCTACTGTGACCCTACCTCTTCCTTGTTGGGGTTCAGCAAGAGGGCGCTGATCATGTCTTCCTTAGCTCCCAGGAACTCCTGCAGAAAGACGCGAGTCTTCGCCCTGTTCAGGTAATACTTCACTTCCCAGGGATCGTTGTCCACAGCACAGGAGAAACGTGTTTCAGCCTGCAAGTACTGCCTGGAAAACACACACACACACACACAAAGACACACAAACCTCAATAAAGGCACGAATCCCAGTCCCAGTTGTCTGTTTTACGGGACCGTGACGGAAAAAACACAACGACGGAGAGGAATACAACTGGGATCCCCCCAAGGCTCTCGGGGTGAGCTATGGAAGGACCGTCGTAAGGGCCCAAGCGTTTCCCTCCCAAGGAAACCTCACCGCCACGAGAGCCCTCCCAAGAGATCGCAGCCTACTTTTCGCGGAAGTCTTGCAATCCGCTCTCGTTGGAGAGCCAAGCGATGCGATGGCGGAGTCGGGGGTCTAAAGGATGCAGCTCTAAAGCTTGTTGATAATCCGCCATGGCAAAATTCAGCTGGCCCAGTTTCAGGAAACAGTCTAGGAGGCAGAAAGAGACAGAGACAGAGATCATCAGTGCTAGAAGGGAGTTTGGGGGTGGGGGGAGGAGGAGGAGGAGGAGGAGGAGGAGGAGGAGGGGGTCATCTGAGTGCTCGCTCTCCGATGCCTCGGCCATCTGCACCTGCTGCCGGTGAACCACAACAGATCCTGAAGATGGAACTCAAAGACTTTGGCCACCTGATGAGAAGGAAGGACTCCCTGGAAAAGAGCCTAAATGCTGGAAGCAACTGTGGGGCAAAGAAGAAGAAGGGGACGGCAGAGAAGTGAGGGGGCTTGGATGGAGTCCCCGAAGCACTCGGTGTGAGCTTAAATGCACTCCCGAAGATGGTAGAGGAGAGGAAGGAGGAACGTTGTCCATGGGGTCGCGATGGGTCAGATACACCTTCACAACTAACAACAACAACAAAAAAAAAACCAAGGAAATATAGGAAACAGTTGGGCAGGGCCAACTGTTCACTGGAGCAACCAGTTCGCTACAACCAGTGAGAACCGGGAGCATACCACCACTGTCCTTCACCTACCTCCTCGGTTGATGTAGAGGCCAAATTCGTTCTTCTCCCCTTTGATCGCTTTGTTGAGCAGCAGCACGGCCTCTTCGTAGCAGCCCTTGAAGTAACAGTGGACGGCAAAATCGTTGTAGCTCAGGAGGACCTGCTTCTCCGCCTCGTGACGCACCTCGCTGGCCTCATCGGCTCGGCACAGCTCGACGGCCCTCAGGTAGTCATCGATGGCCGCGCTGAAGTCCTTCAGCCTGCGCAGGAGGGTGCCTCTTCCGGGAGTTGAGGAGGAAAGCAAAACAACGGAGGTGAATCCGGGGGCTTAGCAACGATTCCGACTTCAAGGGTGTCCCCTCAGGAAAATTTCAAGGGGACCTGGGAGGTTGTCATCGTAGTTACACCAGAAGCAGTTAGCTTCCTTAGCTATCGAATTATAGCGTCTTCATTTTCCTTTAATGACCCTATAATCCCTTAATTCGTGGTGGAGTCGGAGTGACTGGAGCCGGCTGCCCTTCCTGACACCGACGTGGAGTTCACAGCAGATATTTCCTCTTTGCGCCCTGAGGGAGAAATATCTGCCGCTACCTAGCATCGAACTCGCAACCTCCTGATGGTGAGGCGAGAACTCCACGCCGCTTAATAGTTGAATTAGAACGTCTATTCCATTGCGATTCTATGGCTCCATTTCATGGCTATTTTATTCTGGTTTTACCTTTACATTTAATAATTATCTCCTACATTGTATTGTCCACATATATGTGGACAGTACAATATAGTATGTACATACGGTATATAAGTATGTATGTGTATGTACATCTATCTATATCTATCTATCTATCTATCATCTATCCAGCCATTCATCCATCCATTTATTTCTACCTACCTACCTACTCTCTCTCTCTCTATCTATCCACCCATCCATCCATCCATCCATCTAATCTACCATCTCTATCATTATCTATCTTCTATCTATGTCATCTATCTATCTATATTATCTACCTATCTATCATCTATCCATCCGTCAATCCAGCCATTCATCCATTTATTTCTACCTACCTACCTCTTATCTACCTACCTACCATATCTATCTATCTATCTATCTATCTATCTATCTATCTATCCATCCATCATCTCTATCATTATCTATCTTCTATCTATGTCATCTATCTATCTATCCATCCATCCATCCATCCATCCATCATCTATCTATGCTTTATTTAAACTAAATTTGTATATCAGTGATTGCTTGACTTCTATAGGTGCCGTATGCTAAATATATAAATAATTTTGGTCCCCCAAGGAAGCCCCCCCCCCCCCGAAAAACCCCGGGCCAAGGAGCCCAACCTTGGGGGTTGAAATCAATCCAGTTCTCCCGGTGGTCTTTTTGAGCATCAAATGTCATTCTAATCTGCTCTCCATCCCAGCATCCCCCTCCTCACCTGTCTCATTTACACCCTCTTGCAGGTCTCCGGCACAGAAGTCCGAAACCCCAGTGACCACACCTGAAGGGGATGAGACCAAAGACACCTGGGTACCTGAAGAGGAAATACTTCTCATCCAAGGGGTTGTAGTTGATGGCTCGGTTGATCTTCAGCAAAGCACCTTTCAGGTTGCCCTTGATGGCCAGGGTCACCGCACAATCTTTAGACCTCTCTGCCTCCTTGGTCATCTTCCTCAAGAGAACCTGCGCTTCCGTGTGGTCTGGATCCAACGCGAGGGCCTCTTGGAGGTTGCAAAAGCAGCAGCTTGCCTTTGGAAGGGAGCAAAGCAGACGCCGGCGTTCAAGCAAATCACGGGGTGTGTCAACTCGTAAAGCGATCCGATGCCTGTTTTCGAGTTGCCATAAGCAGGAGGGGTGGGGAAAAAATCCCGAAGGAGCAGTACGGCAATTAAAACCAGAAGTACATTCCACACATCTTACAAAGATTAGACTCCAATAAAGTTAATCATGATTCAGTTGTTCATGATCAAACAACTCGACTGCCTCATCATTACAACACTAAGGATCCCACAGTCCTTCTGCTCCTCTTCCTCCTCCTCTGCAAACCCCACTCATATTATCTAACTGGGTAATAAAATGTCTGCCAAACAAACCCCAAGCTCAAAGAGCACCAAGGACCCCAAACCCCACAGTCCTCCCTTTCTTCTCCTTCCTTCCTTCCTTCCTTCCTTCCTTCCTTCCTTCCTTCCTTCCTTCCCACCTTCCTTTCTTCCTTCCTTCCTACCTACCTTCCTTCCTTTCTTCCTTCCTACCTTCTTCCTTCCTACCTACCTACTTTCCTTCCTTCCTTCCTTCCTTCCTTCCTTCCTTCCCACCTTCCTTT